GAACAGAATGGACTAAGGGTGAACCAATCACAATTGACTCATCACCAGTGATTAACTATAAAGTGAGCACTGAAGTCATTTTGGGGTTACACATGCAAAGAAATTAAGCTGTGTCTCAAGTGGTAGAGCATCAGCCTTGAACAAAACTGTATGGGCAGGGTGGAGGCGCTGATTTCAAGCTGCAGGACTTGGACCCACACACAAAGAAAATGTACCCCCACGTGTATGTCCCTCCATGTTCTCTGAATGTTTCAAGAGGTGATGTGGCAGATTTTAATCCTGTGCAAATTTTGTAATACACAAGTAGTGGTACCTTCAATTCAAAAAGTGAACGGGAAATGCAATTTGTCTTATAATGCACAGACCACACATATAGTGGGAGACATCAATACTTTCATATCCTTGGCTGAAATCATTGCTATCTTTTCCCATCTACTGTTCCCCACATCACCTTAGAGCTCTTATTTCTGAGATTTTATAAAATTTCCTTGAAAACCCCCCTTTTTTTTTTTTTTTTTTTGCTAGTCACGAGTTCTGAATAACTGGGCGTTGTCACTCAGCTCTTCAGCTCAAGGCTAGTGCCCTATCACTTGAGCCAACGCAACACTTCCAGCTTTTTCTGCTTATGTGGTGCTGAGGAATCAAACCCAGGGCCTCATGCATGTGATGTAAGCACTCTACCACTGAGCCAACTTCCCAGCCCATGAAAAACCATCCTTTAGTAAAAAGGACACACGTCAATAACTTCCCTCTCTTCATCACTTGTTAAGCTTGGAAGTAATTAATGCCCATCACTTGTGTCTAAAAGCTTTGAATAATATTCAGGTACATCATCCTCACTCAACACAATGAAAAGATGAGAAATGCTGTCTCAGTACTGGCCCAAAAGTAAAGACCGGTTTCCCACTACACCTAGCTTACCTCTGCCATGAAAGACTTCACCATAATTTATAGAGGTGTATGACAAACTTTCCTCCACTGCATTTCTTTCCTGTGTGAGTGTTCTACTGCTTGCTTAAGTTTAATTTCTAATTTCTACTTGAAAGATTCCCTCTTATGTTTACATTTACAGAGATTCTGTCATGTGTTTGGGTCTCTGAAACCTGTAGAGATATGACTTCTAGCTAAATGTTTTTCTACATTTATTATACTCAGATTCTCTCCTGTGTATGTTGCCAGATGCACTGACGACTTCACTTCTGATTAAAAGTCACTCCACATTTATTTACTCATTTAGTTTTATTTTTTGTCAGTTATGGGGTCTGAACACTGGGCACTGTTCCTCAGTTCTTCATCTCATGTCGAGTGCTCTACCACTTGAGCCACAGTGCCACTTGCAGCTTTTTCTGCTTATGTGGTGCTGAGGAATCAAACCCAGGGCCTCAGGCATGCAAGGCAAGCACTGTACTACTGAGCCACCTTCCCAATCCATTGCACATTTATTATATTCATTAATATTTTCTCCTACGTGTGTCAGTTCTCTGATGAACACTGAGGTATATCTTCTAGGCGAAAGACTTTACACATTTATTACATTCCTAAGGTTTCTCCCATGTGTATTCTATTATGCCTCCTGAGATATGATCTCAACAGGAAGGTCTTTCCACATTTGTTGCATTCATAAGGTTCCTCTCTTGTGTGTGTTCTCTGATGCAAAGTGACATGTGACTTCCGTCTGAAAGACTTTCCACATTTGTTACATTCATAAGGTTTTTCACCTGTGTGAATTATCTTATGCCTGCTGAGGTGTGAACTCTGGGTGAAGGACTTTCCACATTTGTTACATTTATAAGGTTTCTCACCTGTGTGAGTGTTGTTATGCGTGCCAAGGTATGACCTCCGCTTGAAAGACTTTCCACATTTGTTGCATTCATAAGGTTTATCGCCTGTGTGAATTATTTTGTGCCTGTTGAAATCTGACTTCCGGGTGAAGGACTTTCCACATTTGTTACATCCATAAGGTTTCTCTCCTGTGTGTGTTCTCTGATGGATAGTAAGGAGTGCCTTCTGTACGAAAGACTTTTCACACTTGGAACATTTAAAAGGTTTCTCTCCTGTGTGTGTTCTATGATGAACACTAAGGTATTTCTTCTGGCTAAAGGACTTTCCACACCTGTTACATTCATAAGGTTTCTTTCCCGTGTATGTTCTCTGAGGATTACTAAGAAATTCCTTCTGGGTGAAAGACTTTCCACGTTTGGGTTTGTCTTCTGCGTGAGTTCTCTTATTAGTGCCAAGAGCTGACTTCTGGGATTTTCCACATGGGATATACTCATTGGACTTCTCTGGATATTTGCTTTGAGGTGTTATAATATATTTTTCTGTACTTAAACTTTCCTCACATTCACTACATGTAAAGGGATTCTCTCCTGTGTATATTTTCTGATGTGTAGTGACTGTAGGTCTTAAGTAGAATGTTTTTCCACACGCAGTACACTCAGGTGTTTTCCTCCATCCCTGAAGAATTTCTTCGGCAAGGACAGTAGACTTACCATAGTCTTCTCTATGTTTACTGTGGTTATAGGAGGATTCTCCCACACAAACCCAATTATGTCTAAAGAATATGGTCTCTGAGTGTAATACTCTCCCTTCTTCACCATATTCAAAATACTGCTGCTCATTTGTACTCTCATAATTTTGAGTAAAATGCTCTGAATATTTGAGGGATTGTTCAACTACAGGAGACACACCAGTCCTATATGCAGCATGTATCTCATGAGGCTCACTATCGAAAAGCATGTTCTGACACTCAGTGAACTCTTCAGCCCTCATCCTTAAGGAGTTCCCATTATTCCTCATTAGCTCTGGTTTATGTGTTGAGCTCAAGTTAAAAGTTGTTACTAATCTCATTCTTTCCTCCACTGTGTTACTATTCATGACTGCTACTTCACACAGACATTCATCTGGACTTTCTTGGCAGGTCTCAATCACACCCTCCATTTCTTGTACATCTAAAATGAGTTACAGAACAAAAGACAAAAACATAAATGAGATCTAAATATTCCTTAGTATAAAGGTAAAAACATTTTCTTCCATCCTAAATGTTAGGGATTTTGAAATATCAAAGAAGGAAATGATTCATGAGATATATATGTTTTTCTCCCTAGTGTATTAAGAAAGTAATACTGATATTTTACAAGGAAAAATAGTGTTTTTCTGCATTTCTGTGTTTGTATCAGAGGCAATATTTACTCAAATTACTCAACTACATATTGCTACAGCTTTAAGCTGAGTAACTACCATCTGGCTTTAGTATTTTTGTTGTTTTTTTTTCAAAATACGATTTTCTTTGCTCATAGGGGAAGAGCTGCTTTGTTTTCTTTTATTTTCTTGAGATAATTTGTATATTGTGCCACATTGCTTTTCAAATATTAGGTGAGGAACTGGAATATTTTCTAGATTAGGAGACCATTAGAGTATATTGCCCATCCCTTTGTCTTGCCCTGAGCAGTAATGGTTTCTGAGAGTAGTTTTATACCTACATCTGTTCAGTTGTAAAATACCACCAAGAATCACTTTAGTTATCTATGAGAATTTTAAACTTCTTTCCTCTCCATTTTATATAAAGTCTCACCATAATTCCTTTTATGACATTCCTGCTCCTCAGAACCATGGAAAACTAAACATACTCGAGCTAACCATCTAGTCATCCTTCCTAGAGTATTAGCTTCAGTTCTGAACCCTAGTCTCTGGCCACCACCACTGATAATCTATTTTCCTTATTGGAGATTATCAGCCATGATGTACTACATAGTTCCTCGTACCAGCACAGTCCTAGTTGTAAAGAAAATGAAATTATGATTCGCATGGCTCATTTCCTTTTTTTCTTTCAGAATGATTTCCAAAAGAGATCATTGCTAATTTTAACAGGACCGCCACAAAGAATTCCAGATATCTCTTAGACAAAGGATCACTGAGAATTATTGCTCAGTACACAGCAAGATGTCCTCTGGCTCGAACTTTACTATGCAAGATGATTGAACTCACCTGTGAAACTTTTGTCTAAGGCTTCTCTTCTCCTTGCTCCACCTTGCTCCAGCTTGACGATCAACTTAGGTTTAGGACCACAGTACCCTGTTAAAATAAGAAATACTGGGGAACTATTGCTCATGCTGTGTTATCATTGCTGTAAAATCTCAGACATATTGTTTACAAGATTGCTCCCAGCAGGGAGCTGGTGGCTCACGCCTGTAATCCTAGCTACTCAGGAGGCTGAGATCTGAGGATCGCGGTTCAAAGCCAGCCCGGGCAGGAGAGACCGTGAGACTCCTATCTCCAATAAACCACCAGAAAACGTGGCGCTGTAGCTCAAGTGGTAGAGCGCTCGCCTTGAGCTGAAGAGCTGAGGGACAGCGCCCAGACCCAGAGTTCAAGCCCCACGACCGACAAAAAAAAAAAAAAGATTGCTCCCAAATCTTGTTTCTCATTTTTCACCAGCTCCATAGTTGACTTTTCTTCAGTTTTGGATTTATTTTGCTGGTTATGTGGTTTGAATTTAGCTCTTTTGCTCAAGGTAACACTCTACCAGTTTTAGTGTCCAACCCACAATTGGAGAGAAGAGTCTCATGGGGACTTTTCTGCCATTGCTGGCTTCAAATCCAAATCCTCAAATTTCAGCCTCCAGAATACAAGTGTGAATATGAACACACAGTGCCAGGTTTGGATTATAAATACCCACTTCAAACTAGTGATTTCCAGATCATACTTGCAATAGTGATAAACATTCTATTCTAGTTTGTATATCTACCTATAATAATCACCTCCACTTTGGGAAAACAGTCTCCTATTTGCAAACATCATTTAGAGCTTTTGTCAAACTACTGATTTAGCTTCTTGAAGAATGTGAATAAAATTGCTTCAGGAATTACATAATCAAGCTGAAATATTCCTTAGAAAGGACTACCAATTCCCATGGACTGGAATGTTATGCCTAAATAATGTAAATATTCATATAGCTACTAAAAAGAAAGTACTTGAAAGTTAAAGTGACTTTAGCTCACCCAAGAACACCAAGTTGCTGTAGGTCTCCAGCATTACTTCCTTATACAGGGTCCTCTGACCAATATCCATGACCTGCCACTCCTCCCAGCTGAAGTCCACAGCCACATCATCAAATGACACCAGTTTCTGTAACAGCACATTTCCATCAAGTAATTAGCCCTGAGTCATGAGAACACCAAGTCTGGTATTCCATTCTTCTACATGAATGCTTTTTTCTTACATAAAAAATTAGGAGTTTGCTGTGTTATCTATAAAGTGGGAGAAAGAAAAATCAAAGTAGAAATATATGTCCCCATATTAACTTGGTAATTACAAATACAAAGTTATCCTAATATATCAGAATACATTTCTACTGCTATCAGGAGAGGGAAGATATCAATTGTAAGGAGCTAATCAACTGGCATGACAACATTAAGTATAAGCAGGTTTCTGAAAGAGTGTGTCTAGCTTATTTTGATAAAATTTACTACATATCAGGGTAACAATGAAGTAAATAATTTTTCCTGCATTTTCATATTCTGCCTCATTTGGAAAGCCTATTTAGATTTTGAATTAAAAAGTACTCTCGGGGCTGGGAAGGTGGCTCAGTGGTAGAGCGCTTGCCTTGCATGCATGGGGCCCTGGGTTCGATTCCTCAGCACCACATAAGCAAAAAGAAAAAAAAAAGCCGGAAGTAGTGCTGTGGCTCAAGTGGTAGAGCACTAGCCTTGAGCTGAAGAGCTGAGGGACAGCGCCCAGGCCCAGAGTTCAGGCCCAATGACCGGACCCAAAAAATAAATAAATAAAATAAAATAAAATAATTAAAAAAAATAAAAGTACTCTCAGGGCTGGGAAGGTGGCTTAGTGGTAGAGTGCTTGCCTAGATGCATGAAGCCCTGGGTTCAATTCCTCAGTACTACATACACAGAAAAAGCCAGACGTGCTGTGGCTCAGGTGGTAGAGTGCTAGCCTGTGCAAAAAAGCTCAGGGACAGTGTCCAGACCCAAAGATCAAGCAAAAAAAGAAAGAAAGAAAAAAGAAGTACAAAAATAAAAATATTTAACAAGTTAAAAAAAGTGATCTCAAAGCAATCAGAACACGTTAGGACATCACATCTACTGATGTGGTATACTCAGTAAAAACACTAATGAGGAAGTGGCGCTGTAGCTCAAGTGGTAGAGCGCTAGCCTTGAGCTGAAGAGCTGAGGGACAGTGCCCAGGCCCAGAGTTCAAGCCCCAAGACCGACAAAAACAAAACAAAAAAAAAAACACTAATGACTAATCTGACCCTTATATGACTTAGTTCCCACAATAAAAATATTATATGTGGGCTGGGAAGGTGGCTCAGTGGTAGAGCGCTTGCCTTGCATGCATGAGGCCCTGGGTTCGATTCCTCAGCACCACATAAACAGAAAAAAAAAGCCAGAAGTGGTGCAGTGGCTCAAGTGGTAGAGCACTACCCTTGAGCCAAAGAGCTGAGGGACAGCGCCCAGGCCCAGAGTTAGGCCCCATGACCGGACCAAAAAAATAAAATAAAATATTATATGTTAATAATTTTTGTTTTTAAATTTCTGAAGATTGAAATGTGATCATAGATATCCTAATACTTTCTTGGTAAGAAAAAAAGAACTACTAGCATGAACTTCTGTGAACATCACCTACCTCATACAGTACAGAATATAGTTGGGAGGGGAATAAAATATTTCTTGAGTAGATTTACATCTTATTAGACCTTCATGGAAGATGTAATGTGTTGAAAGAAATTAACCTTAATTCACAATTCATTGAGCAGAGGAACTTTTCTAAAAATGTAAATTGAAGAAAACAATAAAAAAACTTAGTAAACTATCCAGAGAGACATGTACTAAATATCAAGAAATAAAAATAAATACAAAGATATCAAAGCAATCATAATGAAAAATAAAAATAGTGATAACATGAAAGAAAATAAACATCCAATTGTATGATCACAGATACAGACCACTGATAATAACTGACAGAGCATACATCTGGATATTAAAAGTTGTATGCTAGCCGGGAGCCGATGGCTCACGTCTGTAATCCTAGCTACTCAGGAGGCTGAGATCTAAGGATCGTGGTTCAAAGCCAGCCCGGACAGGAAAGTCTGTGAGACTCTTATCTCCAATAAACCACTAGAAAACCAGAAGTGGTGCTGTGGCTGAAGCAGTAGAGCGCTCACCTTGAGCTGAAGAGCACAGGGACAGCGCCCAAGCCCAGAGTTCAAGCCCCACAACCAACTAAAAAAAATTAAATTAAATTAAAAAAATTAAAAGTTGTATGCTGAAAAGCAAGGGCATGTTTTACAAGGACATAGAATATTAATTTCTTTAATCTGCCATTACTATTAGAGAACTGATAGTCCTCTTACTAACTGATAGAACAACCAGGCAAAAAGTCAGCAGAAACACACACATAGATGGCATTATCTTGACCTAAATGCTGTTTATAAAGCACTGTGTCATTAGATTTACAAAGACCGACACACTGAGAGAAAATCTCAAGAAAAACTTTCTGGAAGTCAATAGGAGAAATGCAGCTATAGCTTACAAATCCATTAAAATTCAATAATATATTTTGAACTCTCAATGTGTAAAATAAACACAGGAAAACTATACCAGATTTTGAAGAAATGCACCCTATCCTTGTGACTTATAGAATATTAAAGGTCACTACTTTCTTCACATTTGAAGTTAAAACAAGTGTTTTTAATTAGGTAGGGTATATTCACAAGTATATCTTCTGAAGGGTAGGGGAAAGTCACAGAACTCAAAGAAAATAGGGTGAAAAAGTGCAGCAGAGAAATACTGATGAAAGTAGACAACTCGTGAGTAGAGATGAGAGGCAGGGATTAGGAGAACATTAGAGAATCGAAGACACTGTATGAAAGGAAATGTATTTTCATTCCCTGACTCATGTAACTATAATCACCCTGTACATCACCTGTACAAGAAACTAATGATAAAACAAATCCTCCATGGAGTTGTGCTAACCTAAACTATTTGCAAGGTGAGGAAAATCTACCACACTTAGAAGAATAGTTACCATTATTAGAAATAAAATACAACACTTAACTTGAAACATGAATATTAATTTTAATAAACCAGTAGCAATAATCTTGTTTTATTGTGGTATCCAATTAACTGTTAATGTTAAATGTTCAGGTAAGAAAAAGCAAAAAAAACAAGTGCTTCTTTCTGGCTCAAAATTTTATCTTACTCTAGCTAATAAGGAGGCTAACAGCTGGAAGCCAGCCTGGGTAGACAACTCAAATTAAGCAGCTAATCAACAGGTTGGAGGCATGGCTCAAGTAATAGTGCCAACAGTGAATGAGGAAGCCTGTGAATTCAAGATCTAGTACTAGCACAAGAAAGGCATGGTGGAGGCTGAGGTAGGTGTATCACATGAGTTTCTAAGTTAGACACCAATTGTGACAACACAGCAAATCCTCATCTCAGATATAAAGATAAAGGAAAATGAGTGGAGTGGGGAGAAAAGGAAAGTAAAAGGACAGGGAAAAGAAGGAAGAAGTGGGGGACAAGAGAGGAGTGGAGAAGAGGGGGAAAAAGGGAAAGGGAAAGGAGGATAAGAAGAGAGGAGAGGAAAGCTTCATGACATTAGATTTGACAGTTACTCCTTGGATAGGACACCAAAAGTTCCTGATGCAAAACCAAACAAGATTAAAGCAATTAAACCCTTGTGCATCAAAAAGCACAATTAAAAAAGAAGAAAAACCATGGTATGAGAAAAATATTTGAATATCTCTAAATTAGATTACTAACTGGAATATGAAAATATAAAACAAAACTCTACAATACCCCCCCACACACACAAAACGATTTTAAAATGGGAAAAAGATTGAAGAAGTTTTTCTAAAAGAACACATACAAATAGTTGATTAACATATTAAAAAGTTCAATATCAATACCCATGAGAAAAATCCAAATCAAAAATTAAAATGAAATAACTTCTTTCCTCCTCCTCCTCTTTCTCTTCGTCGTCTTCTTCTTTTTGCCAGTCCTGGGGCTTATACTCAGGGCCTGGGCACTGTCCCTGAGCTTCTTTTGCTTAAGGCAGTACTCTATCACTGTGCCACAATGCCACTTCAGGGTTTTTCTGTTTATGCATTCTACCACTAAGCCACATTCCAAGCTCCCAAATAACTACTTCATACATATTAGTATGGACAAAGTTTTAAACAAAAACAACAAAACACATTCCAAAATCTAACAACTGATAGGAAGGATGTAAAAAAATGTGAACCTTGATGCATTTCTGGTAGAAATGTAAAACAATCAAAGATGTATGGAGAGTCCTAAAAAGAACTATTTGTAGAATTAAATAGGAATATGCTCTTCTATTTCTAGATATGTACCCAACAGAAGAGAATGCAGGAACTAGAACTAATATTTGGAGAAACTACTCAAAATAAGCAAAAGATAGAAGCATATAAAACCATAGATAAGTGTGTTGAAAAGGAAGAAAAATTTACTACATTTTACAGCAGGGATAAACCTTGAATACAATAAGCTGAATAAAATACACCAATCATAAAAGAACAGCCATGGTATGGTTTCTCTTACTGAGCTTCCAAGGATCAACAGATTCAAACCCATAGAATCAAGAAGTGAGATAGTTCCAGAGACTCCAGTAAAGACAAACAGAGGCGGCATATTTAATGATTATACAATGGATAGAAGGGATGGCCACACAACAATGAAGCCATATGTGATACTATTGAACTGTACATATAAGACTTGTTAATGTAGCCACACAGGTTGGAACATACCTACACTACCTGAACTTAGGAAACTCTAGAATGATTACCAGACAGTCTAGGATATTTAACAAGTCCAAGAGTAGCCTGTGAATTTCAGCAGAGATAGAAGTGACATATGTATCTATTTTTCCTAGTAAAGTAACAAGCAAATTAAAGTGTCTGAAAACATGTTAAACTGTTTTTAGCCAGAAACATATATTCCTGAATCAGTTCTCCTAGTAAATTCCTAAGGATATATTGCCACACATGTCACCTAGTAATTAAGTTCCTGAGAGATCAAAGTCTACTAATGAGCAAATGTCTGTCAGATTTTTCCACCAGTGATATTTCAAATATAAAAATCCTAGTCACTGTATTGTTTATTATCAAAACCAGCTTCTATCTTATAATGTCAGTGAATGAAAATATTGAAATAGAGCAAGACGTAAAATACAAAACTGCAGTAACGCATGAAATGAGGTCAAAGCAGACAAAGAAAATACAATCAGGAAAAGTAAATTACTTTGCTGTGTATAGATGGGTAGAAGGCAGTAATTTTCTGTAGGGAATCCGACATTGAGCTGAAAGTAGAAAAGATTTGAGAGGTTGGAACTCCAATCTCACCACATTCAAAACACTGCAAGCTGGTCACAGAAGTGTTGAAACAGACAACTCTGGAGCAGATTAAGAGACTGGATTGCCAATCCCTTTTTCTTAGTGCTGGAAAGGCTGGGAACTGAACCTTGAATGCTGCTGACCTTGAAGGCTAGGTAAGATGGACTTGATGTCTAGATTTTCTCTGGGATGCAGTCTCTTGTCTCAAAAGAATAAGGGAACAAAACTCTGTTTTGGCCCTGGATGTAATATTAATAGAAATGCTTTCCTTTTTACATGTATCCATGATAATTTTCCCTTGTAAACTCAAGCAAATATGTTTGCTTGTGGGGATTCAGGGCCTACGTGCCAGTGAGCCTTGGGACCCCTTGTTTCCCCCTCATCTTCCTATCTGCTTATGTCTTTGTGTTTTTCTAATAGTCTTTGGCTTTGGAATCCCATTGAGCTGCCTTGAGTTACAGCTAGCAACAATTTTCCTCTATTATGGGTAAGAAAAATGTCAACTCTAAGCCATATCAGCAAAGGAAAATTCATCAGTCAGAAAAATAGTTCCCACATAAAGCATTTGAAGAAAAGAAAAAAGAGTGAGAGAAGAAAGACTGAGAGAAAGAAAAAGACAGAGACAAATAGATATGAAAAGCAAGAAAGAAAGTAATAAAAGCTTGTAAGCAGGAAACAGAATGAAGTGAGATAACGGAAATAAACTGGGATTTCTAGAAAGACCATATCATCAAATATAGCCTAAGTTTCCAGTAAGAAAAAGACAATGGGGGCTGGGAAGGTAGCTCAGTGGTAGAGTGCTTGCCTTGCATGCATGAGGCCCTGGCTTTGATTCCTCAGCACCACATAAGCAAAAAGAAAAAAGCTGGAAGTGGCGCTGTGGCTCAAGTGGTAGAGTGCTAGCCTTGAGCTGAAGAGCTGAGGGACAGCGCCCAGGCCCAGAGTTCAGGCCCCACAACCGGACCCAAAAAAAAAAAAAAAAAGAAAAAGACAATGCAGCAATCCAAGACATATGTCCAGAGAGGAATTTAAGGATATATAACTTACTCAGTCCTCTAGAACATTTGAAGGTATGTGTGACCACATTATTTCAGCAATGCCAGCCAAACATTAAGATACTTTAATGTTACTCATGAGGATTTGATCTCTGCTCAGTTGCTAACAAACCTTCATATTCCAAGAGAAGTCACCTCCTCAATGTATTTTATAATCTGCTAAATCCACAAGCCATCTTTGTGTGACTTATGAACATGTTCCTTGTTCTTCAACCTTAGACACCCTTTTGTTCATAAAATGGAATATAAAACAAAGTGAGAAATAAAAACAACTCACCAGAGATCCTTGCATTCTTTCTTGCTGTTGACAATGAACAGAAGATTCTGGAAGCAAGGCTGGGAAAGAAGGTAAATGAGGTAATCAGGAAAAATAACCTGTGTGATTATGCCCCAAATTTTCCTGCTCAAAACATTATAGATGGGCTGGAAAAGCATAAAGCATTCCTTTTTATTTGTCGGTCATGGGGCTTGAACTCTAGGCCTGAGTGCTGTCCCTCAACTCTTCAGCTCAAAGCTAGTGCTCTACCACTTGAGCTACAGCGCCACTTCCAGTTCTCTGGTGGTTTATTGGAAATAAAGAGTTTCCCGGACTTTCCTGCCAGGGCTGGCTTTAAACTGCAGTCCTCAGATCTCAACCTCCTGAATAGCTAGGATTACAGGCGTGAGCCACTGGCGTCCGGGGCATAAAGCATTCTTATGGGAGAAGAATTTTTTATATCTCAAGTAGAACATTAAACTTTCCATTACATTCGAATCCAGAGTCCATTGTTAGGTATTATGAAAGTAATTCATTTCTAAGTTAATATACATACAGAATTCATAAAAACTAATATTCCCACAAAAGATAAGGTGGATTGAAACCAAATAAACATATCACATCTTCTTTAAAACTAGTTGCTATTGAAATACAGACCAGTTCATCTCCCCTTCTGAAAGTTGGTCTAAACCTTCCAACAGACCAAGTGACTGAGAGTGTTGGAGGAAAGTGTACCATGCGAATCTTGTGCTCTGAGAACTACAACTAGTTATTGCGTAAGGCAAGGAAGGCTAAAAAACATCATCCCTTTGGATGTTTTTCTGCCTCTGCTCTTTAGGGCTTGTCAGAGTTGACAAGAACGCTCCTTTGAGGAGAGAGATTCCTATTCATGGGTGTCCTCCTTCAAACATTGTTAGCCTTCATTCCTAAAAATACAGAACCAATGGGAAGGTGGCTCAGTGGTAGAGCGCTTGCCTTGCATGCCTGAGGCCCTGGGTTCGATTCCTCAGCACCACATAAGCACGACCGGACCAAAAAAAAAAAACCAAAAAACCAGCACCAACACAATCTACTCCAATATCTCATGTAGAACTATCTCTAGAAACAAGTTCATGTACAAACATGAGTGAACTCAACCCAGGAGTGCTAAGAAAGCTAAAAAGGCAGGAGCAGTGCAGAGACACACCTCTGGGAGGAACAACACAGAACCCCAAAATACCACCGCAATATAAATGGACTCAAGGGAGGCCCACCCTTGCCAATTTCACTTGTTTTGTTACCGTGCTCATCTTACAGCTGGGCAAAGTGGAAAAAAAAAAAATCACACGAGTTAACATCAGAATCTCTCAGTCCTGGAGAATAAACACACAGCTCCCTGCTCTCCAAGTCTTGAGAAACCCCCAACTTGCTCTCAGAAGACAGTTTCTGGCATGCGGAGGCACATAGGCTAATGGCAGCACAAACACATGAACTCCAAACAAATAACCCCAGACTGCAGGAACACGTGGAGGGTAGACCCCAGTCCTGGGCCCAGGTCAAGGTACCTGACATCAGATGGGAAGCTTGCGATCCCTTCAAGTCACAGCTCCCCAGGTCCACCGAAGAGCGGCGGGGCGCCTGCCTCCGGGCTCCAACTATGGAATGCCAAGCTGTACCTGAGAGCACTTTCAGCAGCCAGGATCAGGGAAAGAAACCGGAATTCGCAGACGGTAAAAACCAACAGTGGGCGGGGACGCACATGCGCAGAAGGGTCTTCTCGCGGCCCCCTGGGGAAAAAAACGCACTTTCCAAGGATTTGTGCTTTTATGGAGACTACAATTCCCACAATGCACTGCTCCAATCTGGAGGAAGTGGGCTTTTTTTTTTTTTTTTTTTTTTCTGGGGATTCGACCAGTGCCAGACCTCAGGTCCAAGAAGTGCCTGGGTGCCTGGCAACGTTTCTCTCTCAGCTGTGGGAGCTAAAGTGAGTTTCTTCTTGAAAAATCACTGCATACGGGCTGGGTAGGTGGCTCAGTGGTAGAGTGCTTGCCCTGTATGCATGAGGCCCTGGGTTCGATTCCCCAGCACCACATAAGCAGAAAAAGCCAGAAGTGGCGCTGTGGCTCAAGTGGTAGAGTGCTAGCCTTGAGCACAGACAGGCTCAGGGAGAGTGTCCAGGCCCAGAGTTCAAGCTCCACGACTGACAAAAAAAAGAAAATCACTGTGTACCTCCTGAAACATTGTGAGACCAAACAGGAAATGGAAGTGTATTGGGGCCATCAGATAAGCTGGCTTTTTAGTTCTTAGTTCTAATAATTGTGGTTATGAGAGTACGTTTTTGGTTTTTGTTGTTCAACACACACGTTCTGCTGAATGTACATTATGTCTGTTTTGCCTTGGGTTTTTGTTTTGTCAATTCTGGGGCTTGAACTCAGGGCCTGGGAACTGCCCCTGAGCTGCTTTTGCTCAAGGCTAGCAGTGTACACTTGAGCCACAGTGCCTTTTGCGACTTCTTTTTTTTCTGTGTATGTGGTACTGAGCAATCTAACCCAGGGCTTCATGCATGCTAGGCAAGCACTCTACCACTAAGCCACATTCCTAGCCTTGCCTTAAAGTTTTGAGTGTTTCCCCTCTCACTTTACGATGGGATTCACAGCCACTAAACTCCACTAAACTGATTCCAGGATCATTTTCCTCTGCTCTAATATACACACTGGAAGAAATTAGTAGGATATTTTAGGTAGATATACAGCACAATCAATATAGATTTCTCAAAACTTAACAATTAATTTCCCAGAAACTACCAAATTCTATCTTTGAAATCTTAAGGAATTTTTTGGTTGCTTCTGAATTTTGCTTTTCCTTTAAACGTTTTTTCCCCCCTTTTTTTTCTGTTGGTCCTGTGGCTTGAACTCAGAGCTTAGGCACTCTTTGTGAGTGTTTGCTGTGCTCTTCTTGCCTTTTCTTTAATAATTTCTTGAGCTAAGTAGTGAAAAGTTTCCTTACATGGGTTTCTTCGAGAATGGTACTTCACCTCCATTCCTCCATTGCTCTTCAAAGAGATGGGGGTGGGGGGTGGTGTGGGAAGGGATCAGGATGAATGTGGGTGGGAGTAGAGGAGTGAAGTTTAGGGAAGGTCTGTGTTGATGTGAAGCTGGATCACTTGCTCCAAACCAGTCTGTTTTTATTTTCCCATTTTGCCTGCCCTAGTTTGTTTTGAATTCCTACCTCTTCTCCGATCCTGTAAGTTCCTTTCAGGAACTATAGGCTACATGTCTAGGGGACCTCAGACTTGTCTTCCCAAACCTTATCCATTAGACTGTGGAATAAATCTTTGTCTTTCTCCCTTATATCAGAGATCCTATGCTTCTCTTTTAAAAGTTTATTGTGATTTTTGATGGTCCTTTACATATATGATTGGGAAGGTTTGGGTAGGAAACTTACATGCCTAATTTCAGTCCTCCAGTGTATGAGGTCTGCATGCCTCTTTTGTGGACCTGAACTATTCTTCATGAAAATTGAGATTGTAGGGCATATTTGGATGTATAGACTTCAACTTGAGAGAACCTATAACAATATAAAGGAAAAAATAGAATTTATTTCTGTAAAAGTTGAAAGTAAATTCCTGAGAGGCAAGTGCATAAGGTAAAAATGGGTGCTTCCAAGATTAGCTGTGTAGTGTAGTTTTCATAGTTCAAAGTTACATGTTTGATAACTGTATTTCTGTTTTATTTTTATACTAATGTAAATAGAATCGACTCCCTATATTATTTTTAATTGTTCATTGCTCACAGATGTAAATCCAATTATTTTTATACAAATATCCTATTCCTTTGTTGAACTCACTTATTAATTATATTAATTTTTAGTGAATTCTTGTGAATTTCTGAATAAAAGATGTTAGCTTTAGGAGCCAGTGGCTAATCCTAGCAGCTCAGGAGGGTGACTTCTGAGGATTGCAGTTGAAAGCCAGCTTGGGCAGGGAAGTATGTAAGACTCTTACCTCCAATTAACCATCAAAAACCAGAAGTGGAGCTGCACTTCAAGTGGTAGAGCTCTAGCCTTCAGTGAAAAAGCTTCTCAGGGGCACAGTCCCTGAGTTCAAGTCCCGTAATGGCAGAAATATAATGCTATCTGCACATAAAGATAATTACACTCCTTCCTGTCTACATAGATGCAATGTTTCTATTTTCAAATTGACCTTGCTAACAAATCCAGTACACTGCAACTTAAAAGTGGTGAGAGTAGATTAATTTCTTTTGTTGCTGATCTTATAAACACAAGTGGATTTACCATTAAGTAGGATATTGGCTATAAACTGTTCTTTTTTAAAAGCAAATATATTGGGAGGGAGGGAGGGGATGGTAGGGGGAAAACAATGGAGGGGGTAACAATGTTCAAGAGGAAGTATACTCATTACCTCACTCATGTAACTGTAACCCTCTGTATAGTAGCTTTACAATAAAATTAAATTAAAAAAAAATAATAAAATAAAAAAAATAAAAAAAATAAAAAAGCAAATATATTTTAGTTGTACTGGCGAGTTTCATGGTGACGCTTTAATATAAGAATACAATTTACAGCCAGGTGCCTGTGGCTCATGCCTGTAATCTTAGCTACACAGGAGGCTAATCTGATGATCACGGTTCAAAACCAGCCCAGGTGTGAAAGTCCTTGAAACTCTTTTTTTTTTTCTTTTTTTGCTGGTTGTGGGGCCTGAACTCTGGGTCTGGGTGCTGTCCCTCAGCTCTTCAGCTCAAGGCTAGCACCCTACCACTTGAGCCACAGCAGCACTTGCGGCTTTTTCTGCATATGTGGTGCTGAGGAATGGAACCCAGGGCCTCATGCGTGCAAGGCAAGCACTCTACCACTGAGCTACCTTCCCAGCCCAAGTCCTTGAAACTCTTATCTCCAGTAAACCACTCAGAAAACCAGAATTGGCACTCAAGAGGTAGAGTGCTAGCCTTGAGCTGAATCACTGAGGGACAGCTCCCAGACCCAGAGTTCAAGCCCCACAACTGACAAAAAAAAAAAAAAAAATACAATTGACTTCATCAAAATGGGTCATT